CTGTTGTTGCTCCTTACAGCAAAGCATGAGTAATTGAGTACAGCATGAGAATTTACTATAGTGGCATGGAGAAATACTAGGTATCAGATAAACATAATTTCTTCTAGTAGATAAATGATGAACAACAATTCCAGAAACATTACCATTTTATTTTTTCTCCATTCTCATACTTTTAAACATTTCTTTCTATTTTGGCATACATTTCAAATTATCCACAGAAATCAAATATCTATTCTTATGACAGTCCTAGAAATTGGTTCGCAACACCACCAACACCTATTTATGCAGCAGCTTTAACATTTTAGAATATCACAAGGTACTTCACAGGAGTATTATAGAACAAAATATCACAGAGAGCCATTTGAAGATATTAGGCCAGAGGACCAAGACCTAAGAAGTCTTAAAGGAAGAAAGCCATGCAGAGAGTCGGAGAAATGTAGGGCGTGTTATTCAAGAGCTTGGAAGCTAGAAAACTGAAGACCCAGTCATAAAGATGGGACAATTAAAATTGGAAATGCAAATGAGACCAGAATTAAAGGAATGTAGGTATTTTAAAGGTTTATGAAGTTTGAAGAGGTTACAGAAATAGAAACATTTGAGGCCTGGGAAGGATTTGAAAACCAGGATGAGAATTTTAAAATTGAGATATTTCTTGAGTGGGGAGCTATGGCAGTTCACAATGACCAGGCTTGGGCTAGCAGTCTTGCCTTAAGTCTCTTGCAGCTGTCAAGCTACAGAAGCTCGGTGGGTATACCCTTCCACCTCAATGGCATAGATGATTTAAGTTTCACAGGTGGATCCCAGAAGACAAGGGGCCATTGCAAGAAGTGTTTGGCAGAACAATGGAGTCAGGTGGATCACAGCTGCAACAATATAGCCTACTTACAGTATCAGCCAATTTGGTGCTCACACAACTGACTGATCAGTCAGGTTTTCACTCTACCACGCAAGTTCTGATCTCACTACTTGCTGTGTTCACTGACCTACATAAGCTCATGGTGCACAACATCTTTATTTTAATATTTTCATCATTGTGTACAAATGTTGCTTTATGTCTATAACATTATCCAGTCCTATAAACCCACCTGTGTTCTTCTAATGCAAGTCTCACTAAGTATGCTTCACCAATTTTCATCCAACATGACCACAAAGGGATTGTTATTGAATTAAGGTGCCACTGTAAATGATTGGGGACATTTCTATGTGCTAATTCTCTTGTTGCTGTCAAAATGCTTTAATCTTAAGGCAATCTTCTATGCAGATATGCTCTAAGATAAAGAGGAAGTGAGGTGTCCCTTACAAAAGGTGGCGGCACAGTGGGAGGGAGTTGCTCTGGGAATCCTCAACATGAACACTGGATCCCACAAGGTCTCATGGCATCAGATCAAATATGGGCAAGGAAATCTGCTGATTACCTATCGCAACCCAACTCTCGCTTAGCTGACAATCTCCCTCGTCAGCTCTACACTCCCCACCAACTTCTGATTCACACCTGATACCTTTCCCTGCAACCACAAGAGTTGCACTTCCTGCCCCTACACCTCCCCCTCTCACCTCCGTCTAAGGCCCCAAACAATCCTTCCAGATCGGGCTCAGATTCACCTGCACTTCATCCACCTGATCTATTGTATCCATTGCTCCAGATGTGGTCTCCTCTATATCGGGGAGACCAAACACAGACTTGGTGACTGGTTCGTGGAGCATCTGCCCTCTGCATGCACCTACCAACCCGATCTTCTGGTTGCCATCCATTTTAATTGCCCCCCTACTTCTCTGACGTCATGTCAATCCTTGGCCTCCTCCACTGTCAGAGTGAGGCCAAATGTAAACTGGAGAAACAACATCTGATATTTCACTTTGGGAGCTTACAGCCCAATGGCCTCATTATTGACTTCACCAGCTTCAAAATCCCTCCAGTCCAAGCCTTATCCCATGTCCAGCCCTCCCCCTTCTCTTCACCTCCCTGACCTGATTTAACCTGTCCACGTTCCTACTCGCCTATCTGCTCCACCCTTCCAACTGACCAATCGCAATAACCTCCTACCTGCATCCACCTATCACCATCCCGCCTACCCTTATCCCAGTCCCAACCCCTCCCTCTATTTACTTCTGGGCTCCTCCTTGCTCCCCAATCCTGATGAAGGGTTTTGGCCCAAAATGTTGATTTTCCTGCTCCTCGGATGCTGTCTACCTGCTGTGTTTTTCCAGCTTCAAATCTATGGACAATCTGTGCAGTTGAAAATACTTGTCAGCAATGTGTTCATCCAAATGAACTTTACCTAAGTGCCTGAGCCACACTGTAATGACATTTGCTACCCACATAGACAGAATCAAGCAGTCTGTAGCATTACCGTTTGTGTTAACCTAACTACCATGAATAGCCACTCTTCTCTGTGGCACTAGACTACCATGCAACATTAGAAAGAAACTGTATGGACATATTTGAAAAAAAATGTTACCAGTATCTCTCCCCTACCCCACAACTCTTGTTTAGGAATTTTTACATGAGTTTAAGAGTTTCTTGATGCAATGATTCCTATTGATGATAATGTATATTGTATATCCTTTCTGTCCTTTTGCTCCACCTATTCTAATACTGCCCTGTTCACTAAGTAAGGTGCTAGCATTAGCAATCCCCCCTTAACAATGACATAACCTTGCAATTGCATTTTTGTAATTTTTAGGAGAGAGATATTTAGACCTATTTTTAACTTGATATCTCCCTATAGAAAATTACAGCATGTAACATGGCAAGTGACGGAATGCAATAAAATTGTATTTTAGATTATGAGAACTGAATTTGATTATTTTTTCAGATCGTATCGGAGAATTCAGTAAATTGTTTAATAATCACTTGATTCTTCTATTTTGTTTTAGGAAAAAGCAAGGTGGATTGATACAACCTAGAAACTTCAAAAAACTTAATAAAAAACAACCTGAAGCAAGTAAAGTGCCATCATAACTAAACATAATCTTTCTGTTCCTGCAAGATTATTGTTGGTTAAAAAAGTATAACTTACCACAGAGAACAAGCAACAATTTACCTGTCTAAAAAAATCTTCATCTTCCACACTGATCATTTTAATGGTTAATAAAGTTGCGTTGTTCCAAAGATTTGCAGTTTGGTTTTGCTTTCTGTACATTTTACTGTTATTTTCTATGCTGACTGTAAAAATCAATCCATTTGTTGTAAAGAAATTGAGGACATCCTGAGGAGCCATTATGTGGGGCTTTTTTCGCACCTGGACAATAACTATGAATCATCAAAATAAGATAATCACTAATAAGTGCAATGAAGAATTTAGAAGAAACTCTATTGCATTCAGAAAATGCTTAGAATATGAAACTTGCTGTCGTATGAAAAGACACTAATAGTTGAAATGAATAGCATAAATGGCTTTAAGAAAGAGGGGAACATGAAGAAAGAGGGGAACAGAAACAACTAGAGAATGTGTAGAGTGTAAATACCAATTTCGTCCAGTTAAGCCCAATGCCCTGTTTGTCTGCTGTAAATTCAATGTTATTATTTTCTCAGATTATGTGACAGTGACTGGTGATTTGTTTTCAACCTCACAAACTGCTTTTTAAGTGTAATGAAATAGTGCAATAATTAAAACATTAACTTCAACCTGCTTTTTCAATATATTTATCTTTTTTGTAACCAGAGGAGAATGGTTAACTGTATGTGCAGTTAACAATGCATATTGTTGATGTAGTAAAATAGAATTTGCTCAGAACTTCTCATAGATTCTGAAGTTTTATTAAATATTCTTCATTTATTCAAGTACATGGTGACAGGAATTGTAATTACCCTTGGGGTGATGCTCATTTCTATTCTTATGTGGCAATTAAATATTTTATAGCTGCATGCATCTCACCTTCAGGTAAATATTAAGAACATTGAATCTCGAATATTTTCCATGAGTTTCTCTGAAGCAGGATGAAAGCAGAATTTTCCAGGTAAACTGTGGTGAGTCAGTTTATTGGCTACACTGCTTGTATAGTCTTACAGAAGTCATCTCAAACTGCCCAAATAGAGGGTTTCCATTTTACCATTATTTTTGTTTCGAAGTTTCTTTATTGCAAAAATATACTTTATCATAAAATCATCTATAAGTTTATACAAATTTTCTAAATCCTATCTATTTAGTCTTTGCAGAGAAAAAATACATTGGAACTTTGACATTTCTCAGAGGTTGTCTGCAGTTGTAAAAACCAAAGCTATTTCCTACTTCTGTAGGTAACTGTTTATGTTCATGTGGAGGCACCAAGTGGGTCTGACAACTGAACAAACCCTTGTTATACTTTGGCAGAAACACCAGAGACGGTGGTCTTTCCTCACTGTGCCTTGGCAGCAGCTGCCCCAAGCTTAGTGCTGGGCCTTGAATGTGCCTGCCTGCAACACTCGGGCAAGCTCAACTCTTTACAGTAGAAGACCAACAGGTTTTGGGCAGACCAAAGACCGTCTTTCACCGAGTTGATGGTCCTTCAGGCGCATTCGATGTTTGTACTGGGAACAGCCTGTAGAGCACAGAGTCCTGTGTCACGGAACTGCACAGTACAAACCTCGACAAAAACAATCTCACTCCTGACTTTCTTTGCAAAGGCACATTTCAGAAGGAGATGTGTGACAGTGTCTTCACCAGCGCAGACGCTTCTAGGGCAGGGTGTGGTGGTGCACAGAGATTGGATGTGCTGCATGAAGGTTCAGATGGGTAGTGCCATTCTCACCGCTAGCCAATCTCTGTCTTGGTGCTTGTTGGAAGGTTCTGGTGATCAGGCACTGCGCCTAATGACTTCGATAGCCTGCTCAGGAGACCAAGTGACAGTGTCCTTTTCCCACAGGGTCTCGAGGATGCTACATGCTGACCACTTGCTGATGGACTTGTGGTCAATGGTGTTTTCCTTTGCAAATTTTTCTATGAAGGACAAGTGATACAGAAAGATTTTTTTTATTATTGCAGAAGTATATTTTATTCGTAAAAAATCTTTATACACATATACATTGCTGAAGCAGTTCTGTATAGTCTTTGCACATGAAGAACAAACAAACATTGGAATTTGGCTTTCCCTGCAGTTCCCAAAAACCCAAGGCATTTCTTATGTATGCTGAACAATACTTAAATATATTTGAGGCACCAGGAGGGTATGATAACTGGATGGACCCCCCACCGTACTTTGGTAGAAAGTCCTTAAATGGTGCTCTCTCCCCACTGTGCCTTGGTGGTAGCTGCCGCAAGCTTCAGTGCGTCCCTCAGAATGTGCTCCTGGATCTTGGAATGTGCCAGTCTGCAACACTCAAGGTCAAGGTCAACTCTTTGCACTGGAAGACGAACAAGTTTCAGGTAGACCAAAAAGTGTCATTCACCAAGTTCATGGTCTTCCAGACTCAGACAATATTTTTCTTGGTGTGCAGCCTGGGAAACAGCTTGTCGAGCACAGAGTCCCATGTTACAGAGCTGCCTGGGGCAAACCTTGACAAAAACGTCTGCTTCTATCACCAGACCTTCTTTGCAAAGGCACATTTTGGAAGGAGATGTGTGATAGTCTCTTCCTTCCTGCAGCCACTTCAAGGGCAATGGGCAGTGGTGCACAGAGACTGGGTGTGCATGGAGGATCTGTTGGGCAATGCTGTTCTCCATACAGAAAGTTTGCAAATGTGAACCAGGATCTTTGCTGAATATCTATTGTTGGTTGGCAACCTCCCTCAAACCCTAGGAACAACACCACACATTTTAGTCAGTGTGTGTACCTTCATTAGAGGTGAGAGTCCCTGACTGGTGTGTACAAGTTTTCAAACCTCTTGGATTTGTTGTGAATGTAGCTTCTGATATACTCCTAACCTGGAATTATATTGCTGTGATGATGTCACTCTTGTCATTGCCTCTGGATTAATTCCAAGTCTGCATTTTCTACTTTGAATTTGATCCAGCTGTAATGTATTATTGTGCATTAAACAATGTTCCATTCAAGCTAATTACTGCAGAATAGATTGACTGTACGAAAAAAATCAAGCAGCCAAGTTCTGCATATGCAATGCATATTAAACAAGGATGGTATGTACCATTCTAAATGTGGTTTAATATTTCCTATACAAGACTTGGTAAAGCTTAGTCATTACTTGTCCGTATATTCTGTCATAAATATGAACCACCTGTAATAACACAGCCAACAAAACATATGGAGCCACACTGTGATAATGGGCAGAATCTTCTGAGACAGTAAACTGAAAGTTAATTAATCTATTCTGTGCATCTTAATCACTGTGTCTTGTCTTTTTAACCACACTCTAGCAGTTATCATGGATTCTTTTTTAACCTAACCTTGTGATAATTAATTTTGCTGGAAGATTTTATCTACAGTCCACTTCTTTACTTTTCAAAGGCTTTGGTCTCATGGTCTTACACTGTATACTAGCTTTAACTATTCTTTTTATCTCCTGTTATCTCAGATGCAGGTTTACTTAACAGAATTACTTTTCCTGACTCATAAATTAAAAGTTAGGTGAAAGAGACTGGAGGCTTTTGTGAAGTATAAACACAGGCAATATCCAATCAAGTCAAATGGCCTGTTTTAGTGCTGTAAATTCCATATACATGCACATTACTGACAGACACTCTACTAAATGATATTGTAATAGCTGACATAATATCCCTAATTAGAGTTACCACAATTGGTTTACTGTTTGTTCCTATAATTTAGCAACTCAGACCTGCATGTTATTTTTCTTTCAAAGTTATAATCTTTTGCCACATTTATTTCCCAAACTGCACAATTTCTTACATAATATTGTCTTCTAACTATGTTCTGAGGATGGCAATGTTCAGTAATTGTCTTTAAGCTTTTAATTCTCCTTAAGTGGCTGCTCAGCTGTCAATCAGTCCCAACTGATCACGGCCTACATCTCAGGCTTGCATGCCACTATCCTTGACTTGAGACTGTACTAATTGTTTGATTTCAGTCAGTTCCTGTTTTACTGATATCTCCTCAATCTGGAAGCAATTGTGCTGTAATTTCCTCCTCTTGTTTAACTTGAAGAACCACCCAGTCTCTCTGAACCAGTACATCAAATGCTGAAACAAAAACAGAAATTGCTCAGCAGGTCTGGCAGCTATCTGTTGGAAGAAAGTAGAGTTAACGTTTTGAGTCTGGTGACTTGTCATCAGAGCTCATCAAGTGTTGAGTTCTCCTAAATTCCAATATATGGCACTTCTCTGCAATGTAGCTTTACTGTCTGTCATCATTCAAGGGTGAAGCAGGACCATTCGTAATGTGTAATCAAAGAGGGTTTTGGGCTTTCAAAAATGGACGTGACGAGTCATTTTTACATGTCTCATAACATTTTTACAGGGTGTCAGTTTGCTGACAAAATAGGGCTGAGGATCAGCTAAGTCAATGGCTTGTTCAAGTGAAAGAAATATTTAAAGGAGCTTCTATGTTAAATACCAAGGATTTGAGTCAAGCTCCACCCCAACACACACCTTGCAACATAACATGGGCACATGGCTTTCCTTAATGTTGGACCTGCTTCAGTATAATCCTTAAAGCAAAGGAATTAGTCTTGCAGTTGAATGTGAGCAGTTGCCAGTTTTTTTTTGACAGCAAACATTTATTCCATGTTTACAATTAATAAAATGGAAGTTACAAAACACAGCAATGAAGCACTCAGCCAACAAGTTTCTCATGGTGTCCATCCAGCACACTAGCAGCTCATCTAAATCCATATACAATGCTCTGCTCCTATATCATTTTAACCACATTTTCTTCAACACCCTATTCTTAAAAGTTGACAGTCTATACTTTATTCATTGACTCTGATAGTACTTTCCTCAGCCTCGCAACCCTCTGTAAAAACAAAAATTTCCTCTCCCTGTCCTGAATCTTTCATTGAACATCTATGCCCCTCAATCACTGGACACAGGCTGTTTTTATTAACTATTATTTCAAAATTTTAATTGTTTTTATTAAATAAAATTTCTTGTTCTAAATGTATAAAACCACTACTTCAAACCTGTAGTCCTCATATTGGCCAACAACAGCTTGCATTTATAAAGTGTCTTTAGCATATTCAAACGTCCTAAAATTCTTGACAGGAACTATTCTCAAACAAAATTTGACTGAACCAAAGAATAACGCCATTATGGACATGTCACCAAATACTTGATCAAAGAAGAACGTTTTAAGGAGTATTTTAAAGACAAAGAGAAATTCAGAGACAGTGACATATAAGGGACAACTTCCAACGGTTAGGACTGAGATGCATGATGGTATAGCTCCCAAGCTAAGTGGAAGAATCACCAGTGTAGTGCTAAGCAGTAGTTCAGTGAATTCAGGTTGTACATTTAATATTATGTATACCCTTTTCTTCCTTGTACACTTTACAAAACCATTCACCTTGGAAGGTAAGAATTTTCTGTAATTCTTTAGTTACTTTGACATTAAAAAGTTGCAACTAAAATGTTATTAAGCTGATAATTGTTTGAGCGAGGAATGTTATGCATCATAGGTTGCCGAAGGAGGACCCTTTCATGTATGGAAAGTTGACCCCATAAGCAGAATACTTGCTTCAGTCATATCTAAAGAGCTGTAAATATAGATG